TCCCCCCTTGTGTCAGGGTAACCGCTTATCCTTGCGCAAGGTTAATAAATGTATTTGTGGGGTCAGGCCAGGTCAATTCCATCTCCAATCAGGCTGGTCTCCTGGGTCAGCCACAAGAGTCCCCCCCCCCAAGTCCCTAAGTCTAAGTCCCCCTCCCCAAAAAAAGAAAAAGTCAGAAAACGTGGCAGCAGGATTGAATAATTTTGTTAGTAAAAAAAAGTAAAGAAGCAGTGCGTAGGAGAAAAACGAAACAAAACAAGCAAGAACAGGTTTCACAGCAGAGAACAGGAACAAAACAGCGTTTAACAGACCTGTGTTTAGCTGAAAAAAGGATCAAAGCATGTTTTAATTCTGTTTTGGGGCACAGAAACAGAATAGAAACATGTTTTCAATAGGAATAAAATAGAAATTCGGGCAGAAATTTTGATTAGAGATCTCACAGCCGGGTGGGGCGGATTCCGTCCCCCTGATTGGCTGGGCCACGCCCAATTTTTTTAACTACATGCAAAGACACTCATTATCATTACAAATGTGAAGTTTGAACACAATGAGTCCTGTGCTTTTGCTGTAACGTCACTGAACATCAAGCATTCCAGCAATACCAAATGTAACCTTTTGCTCCTAAACTTTATATCGAGCAATGAAAAGGGGAGGAAAAATACTTTAAATATACCGTTTTGATATACGGGGCTCAGAGGGATACCCCAGATAAATATCTACCAAATGAATAAAATACAGAACTTTCACTGCGGAATAATATCCCGCTTTTATGCTTCGGGATGGAGTAATAATCTCAGTTACAACATCACTGTGTGGTAATATCCCGGTTGCGGCCCTTGATGGAAGTTTCCCCATCAACTTTTTGATTGTATCTTGTTTACAGTCCGAAATAAAAAGATGGAAAGTCAGCTATACAAGTAATTAAAAATCTTCGTAAAGTTTGAGTGACAAAAATGCCATTGCTGGCATGCCCATAAGGGTCCTACTCCTTATAATATAAACCTAACAACCGTACCGAATAGTTATGTGAACAAAATGTTAGTTCGTTAATCAGAAATTGGACGTTTCAAAACATGTCTGTAAAAACATCTTTATACATGGCGAAATGTTACTGTTTTCTAGGATGTGTGTGAAAAGAACCCATAGGTCACATTTGAATATACCAATTGTTCGAAATGAGCAAATAAACGCATGAACTCATTATTGGGAGATATATTTGCCCAAAGTCACGGTTGATATGAGATAGTCTGAATGGACTGTGAGGGCTCAGTAGGTTTGCATTGTAAGCGTTGGCAGACAGATAGCGTAAAACGAAGTAAGCAAATATCCCTGGGCCCCAGAATACAAAGTTCTTTGATAGCACGAGCTATTATTGGGAGATATATTTGCCCAAAGTCATGAATGATAAGAGACAGTCTAAATTGACCATGACTTTGTAGTCGCAGTAGGCCTACATTGTGAATGTTGTTCATTGTGCAGGCCTGCTACACAGAGAGAATAAACACTTACAGTAAGTAGACTGTCGCGTAAGAGCGCAAGCGGTTGAGTAGTCCATGAATAATACGGACGAGTCACAAGAGTGCGCCTACAAGAATTTGCAACGCGTTGGCCAATCACGATGCACGAAATCTGTCAACCCAATGCGCGTTTGGAAAGGGTCAACAGGTTTCGCGCATTGTGATTAGCCAACGCGCTGTACCGCACACAATGGAGTATGGTGTGCTATAGTCGCCAAATGTGCCTTGCGTCGTCCCGTCGCCACGACGCGACGCCACGACGCGACGCTACGACAGCTCTGTGGCGTCGTGCCGTCGACCCATCGCGTTGTGCCGACGGTGCGACGACACGACGCGACGGCAAGACATCAGGACGCGACAGCACTACGGCAGGACGCAACAGCCTAACCCACACTGCATAAAAACCATACAATGACAGGCGACGCGATGCAACGACTGCACGACGCGATGCTACGACAGCACAACGCGACATCGCGGCGGGGGGTTCTCTCCATTTCATATCCTGCTTCATATGCACAAGATATCGTCGACTGACAACCTGTCAAGACCCACCATTATGTTGTGCGAAAACCTGGCGTCGACGTTCAGTTCTTCCAAAGCGGGTAGTTTTAGACACGAAGAAGAAAACAATACAAATTTACCAATGGGAACAGTGCTATTGCATGTTAGTTCTCTGGAAACAAGCAAGGAGCACAACTTTTTGTTGCCAGGGGCCTATCGCGAGATACACTTGCATACCCTCTGTTGTGGATTGACGCGGTGTGGGACTAGCAAAGGAATGTCCGGTGGAGACACTGGACATGGTACTCGGTCTTGGCTATGTTTATTATCTCTGCATAGATAATCTCCATCTAGGTTCATGCATGGGAAGCCCGTTCTGATAGAAAATATGATACAAAACAAGTATATGTATTTAGGAAAGATAATCCTACACGAGGAATCCAAGAAGAGGGCGCATTTATGTTTGTTTACGATGATGATTGAGGAATGGCATGTATTTCAGACAGTTATGGATTCTGAGATTTTGGAATGGAATTGGGTGTCTGAATATTAATCACTCTTTATAGGGATCAGTTATCTAACTATATCAATTACTCCTTTAACCCAAAGATTAATTAAAAGGTAGTGAAACAGATTCCCTACCGTCATTTATCCGGCCATTATTTGGTATGAATTTTTACGCTCCGTGACAGTGGCTCGCAGGCTTTTTTTGTTGTCATCGCGCGGTGGTGTCCTCCACATCTAAGCTAAACTTTTCGCAACACCCTTGGTACAGAGACTGGTTTAAAAGGGTCACAGAAACTCTCTAGTACTACTTTGGCCACATGTGACGCGTAGAGAAAGGCCACACGCAGTACAAGAGGTTCACTGTGACCTGCCCAACCCTGTGTGCGGCAGCTATTCGCTAAGCCCCTCTCATCCCTTCTGCAGTCCAACATGTACTTCGTGCCCATTGCAGCGGTGAAAGAGCTCCCAATTCCCATAAGTCTTCATCAACACCTATTCAATTGTTCTTTTGTATTATATTAACGTTTTTGTTTCTGTCTTAATATTCACTCCTTTCTTCTTTTATTACACAGGATATTTCCTATTTTTAGAGAGGCAGTTAAGTTCAGCGAGTGGACAGTGTCTACCATTGTAGCTCTGATATAACATCCATGGCAACGCAAAAGAGAGTCCTAGTGTGGAGCACCCCACGCTCTCTCTCCACAGTACTTATGAGGGCACTGTCGCAGCTTCCCGATTCCCTGGTCATTCATGAGTACCTGTTGTTAGTGGGTAAAAATGAGGAACCCGACATACTGGGGGATCAGAAGGCTAAGATGCAAAACTGGGACTCTGAGCCTAGCTTCAACATCCTAAAGTGGAAGGAGATGTACGAGGAACCATACCATGACAAGTCATTCGTTTTCGGCAAAGAAATCGCCTCTAGCTTGGGAAGAAAGGTAGAGATGATACCTGATGGTTACACTCACGTCTTTCTGATGCACAACCCTTTCAAGTCAATTCCATCTAATGAGAAATCACTTTCATTTTTCCCACGCGATTTGAGGTTTTCAGTCATGCTAAAGCCCAACCAGTTCGAAGCCCTGGCTCATATATACGACTACGTCACCACAACGCTCGGCCAATCAAAGCCCGTGGTGTTGGACGCCAGTGACCTTTTGGCCAACCCTGCGAAAACCTTGCAACTGTTCTGCAAGGCCACTGGATTGCCGTTCAGCCAGAAACTACTTCGCTGGGAGCAGGTCAAAGAGAGGCCCCCCTCCAACTTGCTGCTTCCAACGTTTATGTGGGACAACGGCAAGGCATTCGGGGTCTTCAAGACTGCATTTGAGAGCACATGCTTCCATAAGGAGACAACAGGTGTAGCAAAGGAGACAGACCCCATCAGTCCTGAAATTGAGCAACTGATCCAAGATGCTTTGCCGTACTATGAAAAATTGTACAAGTATCGTTTGGAAACGGTGTAGATAACTGTAGTACATACGGCGAATTGAAGTAAACTTATGCACGAATAGCAACATTTTCGTTGATTGCTTTTATATCAAAGCTATAGCCCGCAGTATAATAACTTAAAAGGTGAGTTTGGTCACGTTGTTTTCGCTGTGGCACTGTAATTTTCTTGTTCGTTCAGAATTTTTGTATTGGTACATTTGGCCACTTTTGAATAAAAACATTCAACGGTAAATGCAATTTTCCTTGAGCACAAGTACCACCTCATTGGCTGAAAAGAGCCATGCCTGTGACACGCCTTTCACATTTCATGCATTATCGTTCAAGAACAAGTGAGGTGAAGAGGCGTGTTTTGGCGACCCCTAGCCAGAAACGTGTTTGTGACGTCAAAGCAATAACCGGGAACGTGTTAAGGGTAGCCAACAAAAACAAAGAACCGCAAACGGTTATGTCATCCATCACCTGACAGAGGCAAGCACAAGGAAGCAGACAACACCGTTGATGAACATCATTTCCACTCAGTATTCGGCATTTTTCTCACAAATGCTGCTCTTTCTATAAACGCAAGTTCTAGAACAAAGCCTGTCTTGGATTTGTTGCATGTGACAAAAAATTTTCAGGAGAGGGACGACAAAAAATGTTTATTTGCCATCATTTCGAACCGGCGCCTAACCAACTCCAACTTTTCGTTCCTGTTCGGTCTGAACAATGACGTCAAAGAGGCATACCCAAGTCGCAAAACGCTTAACCAATGACCACTGAAGTTGAAAGGCGTTCATGGCTCGGGTCGCTAAAACATGCCCCTGTTCCCACAAAAGGGGCTTAGAAAATTACGCCCCGCTTGGGGCGTCTATTGGACCAAATGTTGTACTTCAACTTTTACGGAGGTGTTAATTGCTCGGTATATGTACATATTGGATCTAGAGCACCCCCTATATGGTACTCTTGGTAAGTTACTCTTTGTATTGTAAAGTGTAACACGCAAATACACTGTTTGACTTTTTACTTTACATTTGAAAAGTTAAACCACGATGTCATCGTTTGAAACTTGACTTGCGGTGATTACTTACCTGTAAACCACTAGAAACCCATAGTAAACCATTGCCCTACTTTAAATTACCTAAATGAGATGAAACAAAGCTTAATTGAGCAAACAAAACGTTGACATGGGCCAAGTCATCAGTCAATCAGTAATCTGTCTGGTTTAGTGACAGGACTTTATCTCCATGGCCATACAATTATGAAAATAATCACAAAATTCATCAGAAAAACTGCCAAACTCTTACGTTGCCGTCTACAGTAAATTCCAGTTAGTGGATGAAAACAGTAACATCCATCAAAATAGTATCAAGGCCTTTGCGGGATTATAAAAAAATCTTTTATTAAATTTAATAATATTAAGTGTTGCAGATTTTACATGGTACTATAAAAGCGAATTCTGTATTATTACTTAAGCTCGCACTTTGACATTGTGTGCATCCTCTCTTGTGATTATCAGAGAGCATTATGTATGTTCCAAAAACGGGAACTTCGTTTGAAAAGTGTGTTTGGATTACCAAAATGAGTAAACAATAAGTAAACTTTTCAATAAATTAACTGACAATTAACAGTTACCAACAATGTACAAGCAATGTCTGAGTGTGCAAAGCGTATGTTTTGGAATAAGTCTGCTCGGGAGACCACTCGAAACATTCCATTTCTACATAATTCACCACTGGGATGAATCTTGCTTCCGGTAAAGTTGGATGAAGAAAGTTATTTTTTTGGGGGGGGGTACTAAAGGCACGCGCAGGGTGGAGTGGTAAGTTTGGGGTGGTAGCTGTGACTATCCAATTACAGTAGCATAGCACTATCAAACCGTACCAGACAATACTTGGCACTTAAATACGCATGTGCGTAAAATCTTGGGGGATGAGGATATGTAGGCCCCCCCCCCCGTTTTGACCAAGGGGATGACTATTCTCCGAACAATTTTTGTGAGGAGAAAAAAATAAGGCGTATATTGAAGAATTTTTGGACTTGCCAACAGCAAAAATGTGACTCAAAATGGACTCAAAAAGGAGAACAATAACAAAAGTCATAATTATGCCGCCCTGATGTAAGAATCTGCAGCCCTATCAGTAAATATGGCAGATGTACATCTGTGTCACGAACATCATCCTCTATCTAGTGTCATATTGGGCCGCCATCCCTTCCCCCCATGCCCCGCTTTTCGAATTTCCATGACCGGGCAAGTCATCCTCAATCTTCCCCACCCCGAATATCCGGCACAAATTTAAACCACTGTCTCTACAGATGATCTCTTAAGTTCAAGATTGCTCAAACTGGTGACGTTTGTGCGACATTAGTAAAAAAGCAGTATGTAAAAGGCTGTCGTGAAAAATGGAACTGATAAAAAGGGAATTAATTGTTACAATAATGGAGGCGATGGGGATAATCCCTTATCCCGCTCCCCTTTTGCAATGACATGGGAAGCGGAATACACTCAAGAACTTAGAGGCAGTGGATGCCCGGGGCTTGGTGAACATGAGTTCATTGGGGAGATGTTCAAGAAACGTTTCCCAGTAGTCAAGCAGTCAAGTGAGTCAGTGAATAAAATAAGGTTTTTTTTTTTTGAAAGTCCAGACGGGAAAACGGCTACATCTAGATACGTGCAGACGTCATGAGCGCAAGCGTGTGCCTTTAGACTGCAGTGGAGAATTCAGCAGTTCACAGTCGCAATGAACAATGGGCCTCAAGCTGGACCAAGAGAGGGCGCAGTTTAGCAACGGAGGCTCACGTCGCTGGTTCGCGAACAACTGTGAAACGCATGCGTAACGGTCGCGTCGTTGCAAACAAATGTACGCTGCTGATCATTATAGCTCTTTCAAACTGATAAGGGGGTGCTTCTGTTCACAGCGGACTAGTATTGTACCGGCAGGGCAAAATGAACATGAACAGTGCCAGTTTTCTGGGGTCTTTAACATCTTTAACACGGCAATCTTCGTCTAGTTCCATGCTAACATTATCTCAGAGAACTCATATTCATGACATGGAATTCAGACCTAAGGCAACTTCAGTATTTACTTTCCACGAAAAAAGCCTCCAAATTTACGAATCACAAAAAACACAGTAAAATATCATGCATTGCAGGACTCGGTTTAAAACAATAAAATGATAATTTTTTTTGGGGGGGGGTGGAGGGAAAAACCTTAAAATTGTCCGCAGCTAGTTTCAAACATAGGCCCTTGTGTCTTCAAAAGAATCAAAACTTCGTAACGTGCACGTTGATAAATTGGCCACACGTTCATTTGGTTACGAACGGTGAGTTTAACACTTGAGCCCACTTGAGGGCAAGTTTTTGTTAGCCTTGTTCAATATCCACTCGTCCGTTTTTTTTTCATAGGGGCACCTGGGGGCACCGGGATTTTTTTTGGGGGGGGGCGTGCCCTCAGGCCCCCCATGGCTACGCCACTGCTTGGGCCTATTGGCTATACTGCATCAGTTCAATGTCAGTGTTAAAACGTGAAACCGGATGACAGCAAGACATACATGATACACTCCATTAGAGGAAGGAATTACGTTTATCAGTTTGTATTCAAAGGGGACTGCGAATCAAACATTCACTTTGGTTTTGTTAAATGAATATAAATGCAAGTAACATAAAATATTCTTTAAACTCCATGCACCCGTAGCGTCACTCGCGCTCCATGATTTTATTTAAAAAGTGTGGGCGATTCCATTTGGAAGGTACCATCTCCATCACCCCATTCATACTGAATAATGGAGTGGAAAACAGGAGGGCAAAAGAGACACTCAGAATGACAGGTTGTAATGTAAAGTTTGAACTTCACTTCAACTGTCCAATTGAGTTTTATATGCACAAGATATAGGCCTACATTTTTTTTTACACATTTAGCAACACAAATACACTGCAACATCTACACGGAAATGATAAAGGCCTACCGACATTTTGTTGAGGCTTGCATCTACTGCTCCACGCAAGCCGTATAACCATAATGCTGAAGATTAATCCAGATCTGACATATGGCACACGCTGTAAGGATTCGACCAAGCTTAAACTAAGAGCCAGTTTCATACCGATAAAAGAAACGCTTTGAGTGAGCTACTTTGAACAAAGACTGAAAATATCAAGTTTGATAAGCCACTTTAAATTCTATCGATTATACCGGTACTTACAATCAGCGCTCAAAATTGCATTTTGCAAACTATTAAACCAACCTTAAGCAATGATTACGGTTGTATCTGCAAGACAAATTAGAATTTTAAAATCTTCTCAACTCGATGCACTTGTCGAAGTATCACTCCAAATTTTTTGATTTGGTGTCTCTAAACGGAATTTTCTTCAAGGTCAGCCAGTGGGGCCTCAAAAATATTTCCATTTGAGCTGAATCGTTCAAAATCATCCAGGGTATTAGTGAGTAATGTTTTTATATGTATCTCCATACCACAAATCAGATCACTATTGTTGTAAAGACAATGCCATCCTAAAGAATAAATACATGACCCTGGGCGCGGCATAGAATTTTATACATACTGAATGTATTGTTACTTACCAACATCGTTTGCTACACATTCTCTGCCACTGCATTTGTACCAAGCAATAGGTTCGACCTTAGGCAACAAAAGGCTTGTTTGTTCTAAAATAAACCCCAGATAACCCATTTTGTGCAAATATTGGAAGGCTAGGCAAGAGGGGACGTCACATGTGGAGTTTACAGTACTGACGCGCCATTTATCATCAAATGGCATATACCTTAGGTATTAACCAGTTGTTGACCTTCAACAGCAACCTTCCAACATTAGCAAGACTATTACAGCATGATCAAAAACATGCACAAAAAGTGTTAAACCTTAGGTGGGCACATTGGTATTCTTCACCAGGAAATAACAATTTGCAATAATTACAGCTTTAGTAAAATCTACAAAATTATATGAGTGAGGGGATCTTCATCAGCAGAGTGGAATCCTACATCCTGCCTACGGCGCCATTTCTGTAAGCTTGGAAGCTTGTCGGCAACGCCAGGTAGCAGCGTCCCTTGGGGAAGGAGCTGTATATTCCCCTTCAGGGTGGAGGACCTGCGTCCTCCGGTAAGGGAATTCCCAGAAATAAATAGGGAACAAAACAAACCTCCTGACCTTGATTTATTTATTTCTTTTCGTGTCCCCTATTAAAATATATGCCTGAAAAACAATTCCTGACATTGACATTAAAAATAGAGAGAGAATTTACAAAGTATAAAATTACATGTGTATTTAATATGTAATGGAGCACATTAGTATTTGCATAATTAGTATCTCAACTCACCCAACAATCATGGGCCGGGTTGCAGTTATAGGTAAGTGTGGTGTGGCCCACTGCACTGGGCTGAAATGGTAATCCTGTATACACAATAACATAAACTTGGGAAAAAATATCATATTTCCATATAAAACCTACAATCATGCTTTGCAAATGATAAAGCAGCGTGCACTACCAAAATCAGCGTTCACCATGCACGCACATGGACGCGACCCAAAGGTCACTGGAACTGTCCATAAGCCCGCACGCACTCACCGCACGTGTGGCAGACCAGGTGTAGTAAGCTTAATAATGGACATGTACACGTACGTTACACACACACGAGCTACGTAGAAAGTTCTCGCTCACGTGAACCCAAAGAAGCATTGTGAATGAAACGGAAAAGTTCTATCCACAACCCCCCCCCAAAAAAAACTCTTCAAGTTAATGGTAATCATCAATCACAGCCGATTCTCTAATCATTCAAAACGCTCATAATTTACCGCTTGTATCAGTACATATGAAAAGAGTAAAAGAAAGAGTACATTTTACCAAACTGTTTCGGCCAGCCCGCGCTCACTCTCGGTGGAAAGAAAAGGGAAGTTTGAAAGAGCGCCCTCTCAGGCTCAACACCGAGATTAATGTACAAAATGAGGATTCCCACATAAGTGAACTGAGGTCCATTCCTGAGGTATTGTTAAGTTTGCACGATGTGGAACACAAAAGAGCCTGTTTAGACTGGCAAGTGCATGTAAGCTGTTTTGAGGACGAGAATGTATTTTTCCTTTGTGGCACCTGTGGGCCGGATCACATAGGCCATCTTAATATAAATTCAGAGTTCACACGCCTGGCAGCTCTGATACCAAAGAAAAACATTCGCTCAAATTTTGCATTGCTCCCCGTACATACTGTGTAGAAGGTCTCTTTTTCATGTGTGTCATTCTAGGATTTCTCTGACAAAAAGTGCTGGGTGCCTTCACTTAGTGTTTGATGTGCAACGCCTTCCTCTCTAGTGGGTAAACCTTTCATGAGACCACACTGGAAGGAAATTGGTCATTTCCGATACGCAAAATTTTCCACACCCCTTATAACAATGTTTAACTTCACGAGAGTTCGGCGCGTGTCTCACCGTATTAGTTATCACGTATGGAACGAGATTCTGAAATTTGCTATCGATTTTGCCCATGTATTGGCAAGTCTCGACATTGAAGCCAACAATTCCAGGCATCCCCGAAGTTTATTTGAATGACGAGACTTCTTCGTGATAGTTTGCGGTTAAATTATACCAATTCGTTGTGAAGCTCAGTTGAGTG